GCAGCGCGGCTGGCGACGCGCGGCGCGACGGGCAGCGCTACGGGCGGCGCGACGAGCAGCGCGGCGGGCGAGGGCGCTAACGAGGGGCGCTAACGAGGGCGCTAACGAGAGGCGCGCGAGGGCGCTAACGAGGGCGCGCGAGGGCGCTAACGAGGGCGCACGAGGGCGCTACGAGGCTAGGGCACGGGGTAGCGTGGTAACCGCATGCGAGCGGTGGTGGGCCCTAAAAAAAAACGGTCGGTAGGTCCTAGGGACCTCCTGCTCTGAATACCATGTCAACAGGACTAGGCTAGTATGGTGCATTGAATGAAACAGTTGGGTACAAGTAGCAAACCCTAGTTGGGGTTGTACCCCATATTGGCTACCCCACTACAGCCTACCAACATAAAACACATTACAATTTAACAGTACCGACAGGATGGAACGGTGTGCGCAGTCGGGCAGGGATGTGACCGTGTGGTCACATCCACCACTCAGCGGTGAGCACGGGCAGAGCGGTTTACATTCCCGCTAAAAACTTGCCCACTTCGGGGGGTCCAGGTGCATGCTGCACAATGTGACATTTCGACGCGCGTGCGATTCTCAGAGGGTGACGGGGCCTCGTGTAACTCGTCCGCGACACCCGCGCAATTCACGCCAACCAATGTAAAATACAGTGACAATTGCGGCACTGCGGTCCGCGTTTGTGACATAGTACGTTATACCGTAATCACCCGGATATAAGACCCTAGGGTCTTATGAAAACTACGGGAAAAAATGGTGGGGGGTCTTCTCATATTGTCATAGTAATATAAGACCCGGGTCTTAACAAATGAACATGTTTTTTTCACTTGTATTTGAATGCAAAGCTCATGTTGGTGTTTGATTCGTTTTTTATTCCGGGAAAGCAGTACGTCGAGGATGTTTTTGTGATGACTGTTTGTAAATGTGAAATTCAGATATTGCTCTCTGATTGGACAACCACATAGCCAATCAAGTCAAACGAATCTCAAAGCAAGACCATGAGAATCGCACAGTCAGGCATTTGCCAGGTGGCATCACCCTCGCAACTGGTCAAGCTTTGATTCATGAGCCTCGTAATGTCGGAAAAAACAAAAGAATGCACAAAATTGACGGTGCAATGTCCACGTGACTTCATCCGAAGGGGAAACATTATGTTCTCCTTCACAAAACGACTCTATTATATTATAAAATCACACGTTCGATGTGGGGGTGGGGGGTCTTATAATGTTTTCAGCCAAAAAGGGGGGTATAACAAAACATACCCAAAAATAAGACCCACGTCCGTATTATATACCCTGGGATCTACAACTGGGGGGGGTCTTGTATCCGGGTGATTACAGTATGCTGTTTTTGAGTGTCACAAAGTGTTTCAGACACAAGTGTCTCCACAGGAATGTACCCTAATACCCCTTAGAGTACATGGCTAGTGTCAAATGTTGTAGCCTATAGTGAGGTTTGTCTTAGGGGGTACAAAACTTAGGGTTAGCTATATGTACCCCAACCAACATCAATGCATCATCCATTTCTCATTTTGACATGGTATCAGTTAGGTTAGGATCCTGTGGGATCCCGTTTCTCCGTTCTCCGATCGTACCACCCGAGCCTGATCCTAGCTCTCGTTTCGCCCGTCTTGCCCGAGCCTAGTGCCGGCCCGATCTAGTCCCGTTCGTTCGTTACCGCTCGTTCTTCCTCCCGATCTAGCGTAGCCCGATCTAGCGTACCGCTGCCCGTCGACCCGCGCTTCCCCCCGCTGCCCGTCGACCCGCGCTTCCCCCCGCTGCCCGTCGACCCGCGCTTCCCCCCGCTGCCCGTCGACCCGCGCTTCCCCCCGCTGCCCGTCGACCCGCGCTTCCCCCCGCTGCCCGTCGACCCGCGCTTCCCCCCGCTGCCCGTCGACCCGCGCTTCCCCCCGCTGCCCGTCGACCCGCGCTTCCCCCCGCTGCCTGTCGACCCGCGGTTCCCCTGCTCGCGCCCTAGCCCGTCGCCCAGGCCCGCGCCCCAGCCCGTCGCCCTGGCCCGGCGCCTTTGCCCTACCCACCCGCGCGCTCTTCCCCTCTCCCTCTCCTTCCTCCTCCCCCTCTCCTCCCGTCTCTGGTCCTCCGCTTCCTCCTCCTGACCCCTCTCCCGCTGTTTTCCCTCGTTCTCAGTCTTCGTTGTCTCCTCCTCCTTCTCAGACTTGGGCCTCTCGTCGCTCCCCTCGTGCTCGTCCCTCGTCTCCTGTTCCCTTCACTGACCTTCGTACAGCCTTCCTTTGTTCTCGTCCACCTCGTCCGTCTCCGTCTGTGCTTCCGTCTCCTCCTGAGTCGGCCCTCACTGTGTCGCTTCCTTCTCCTGTCACTGACTACTACCGCACGTACCGTCCTGTTCTCTCTCGTGTTCTCGCCTCTCTTGTTACCCACCCTCGTGCCTCTGTGTCCTCTGTGTCCGCTCTTACTGCCGCAGTCACTGAGTTTGCCTCTACCCGCCGCCTTGACTTCGCCACCGCTCTTGTGGCTGCTCCTCCTTCCAGTCCTCTGGCCGTCGGGGGTGTGTCTGCCCTTGGCTGTGACGCCCTAGAGGACAGGCAGTTTGAGCTAGAGTTCCTGGCGGCCGCTTCCCCTCATCTCTGTGCCATGCTCCTCGCCCCTGAGGGTGACCCCGACGCCCTTGACATTCCGACTCCTCGCACTTACGCTGAGGCAGTGTCAGGGCCTTGGGCCTCTCAGTGGAGAGCTGCCATGGACGCAGAGATGGCCTCCTACAGATCCACAGGCACCTACGTCGATGAGGTTCCCCCTCCGGGGGCGAACGTAGTCGACGGCATGTGGATCTACAGGGTGAAGCGGCCACCGGGATCTCCTCCGGTCTTCAAGGCGCGCTACGTGGCTAGAGGCTTCAGTCAGCGCGAGGGAGTTGACTTCTTTCAGACCTTCGCGCCCACCCCGAAGATGACCACTCTTCGGGTGTTACTACACGTAGCAGCACAGAGAGACTACGAGTTACACTCTCTCGACTTCTCTACTGCTTTCCTTCAGGGCAGTCTTCACGAGGAGGTCTGGTTGCGTCGTCCCTCTGCCTTCACTGGCTCTTTCCCTCCTGGGACCCAGTGGAGGCTGAGGCGACCGGTTTACGGTCTTCGTCAGGCTCCTCGTGAGTGGCACGACACCCTGCGTTCTACCCTGTCTGACCTTGGGTTCCAGCCGTCTTCTGCTGACCCGTCGCTGTTCGTTCGTCGTGGCCCCACACCTTTCTTTGTTCTGGTCTACGTTGACGACCTTGTTTTCGCCACCCCTGACAGGGTTGCTTTGGCACACGTGAAGTCCGAACTGCAGAAGAGACACACCTGCACTGATCTTGGTGAGCTGCGCCACTACCTTGGCCTGCAGATCACCAGGGACAGAGCTGCTCGCACCATTACACTTTCACAGTCACACATGGTGCAGCAGGTCCTTCAGCGGTTCGGGCTTCAGCACTCCACAGTACAGCGCACACCTCTTGCTGTTGACCACAGACTCACTGGACCCTTTCCTGACGAGCCGTTCGAGCCTAGTGGTCCCTACGCAGAGCTTGTGGGTTGCCTCATGTACCTGATGACTTGTACTCGCCCGGACCTCGCCTTCCCTCTCAGCGTTCTTGCGCGCTTTGTTGCGCCAGGGAGACACCGTCCTGTTCACTGGACAGCAGCTGTGAGGGTGGCGAAGTACCTAGCGACGACATCAGGCGTGGGGCTAGTTCTTGGAGGGCAGCAGTCTGTCGTACTTACTGGTCACTGTGACTCCTCTTACGCTGACGACGCTGAGACTCACAGGTCTACTCAGGGGTACTGTTTCAGCCTGGGTTCTGGAGCTGTTTCCTGGCGGTCCACGCGCTCCTCTTCGGTCTCGACCTCTACAGCTGAGGCTGAGATCTACGCTGGTGCCATGGCGGCACAGGAGCTGCGTTGGTTGACCTTCTTGCTCACCGACCTTGGTGAGCGGCCGAGCTCTGCACCGACCTTGTTCACTGACAACAAGGCGTCTATTCTCCTTTGTCGAGAGCCACGACTGGAGAGCAGAGTGAAGCACATTCACGTCAGGTACTTTCTTCTGCGAGAGTTGCAGAGGCGTGGACAGGCTCGCTTTGAGTTTGTGGAGTCCGAGGCCAACACTGCAGACATCTTCACCAAGGCGCTTCCGCCTTGTGACCACCAGAGGTGCTGTGTGCAGTTAGGCCTTGTTGACACTGGTTCTCGTGTTGCTTAGACTTGAGTGTACTGTTTACTTTGCTTTCTATATACCTCTGTTACTTCTTGGACTGGCCTTGTGGCCACTGTTGTTTGTGCTCAGACTGTGTGGTGACGTTGTGATCCACCCTGAGCTTCGTTTCTTGGACTGGTCTTGTGACCGTACTCGTTTGGTTCTGCTAGACACTCCTCACTTAGGCTATGGGGGTGTGTCAAATGTTGTAGCCTATAGTGAGGTTTGTCTTAGGGGGTACAAAACTTAGGGTTAGCTATATGTACCCCAACCAACATCAATGCATCATCCATTTCTCATTTTGACAGCTAGTCTAGGTCCCTTCGTTTTCTTTTGTATTTCTTCTATCGACTGGATGTATGCATGCTATTATTATCTCAGCCATTTTACATTCACTCTGACCCGAGGTCACTACGTCCACTGCAATACTACCTACAATCAATCCTGATCCGATCCATTGCTAACTCCTGTTTAGGATCGTAACACCCAGTAAACCCGCATCAGGCAAGATACAAAAACAAGGGCTCAAACTTGTACCCAACGCCGACTTACGGTAAAACTTGTTCATTAACTCCACCCATTGTAACCTGAACGTGTGCAGAATGGGTTGACTTTCTCAACCCTTCTCCTTATCTCCTAATCGCCCTATCCTCATCAGGCGGAGGCAAAGGCAAACGGCACAAAGTGGTATCCATCGCCCAAAGTGTTCATAAACTCCACCCAGTGCAGCCTGAGCGCGTGCAGGCCAGACTGACTGCCTCAAGCTCCCGAATTTCCCAACTCCTAATCCTCCTCATCAGGCAGAGCGGCGAAGGAAAACGGCACGAACTGGTACCCGTCGCCGACATAGAACTTGTTCATAAACTCCACCCAGTGCAGCCTGAGCGCGTGCAGGAAGGCACTGAGCGTCTCCATGAGCAGCAGCACGCCCACTGTGGCTGCTGCAAACACCAGCGACCCTATCAGAATGGCAATCACGTTGCCAGAGCTGCCAGGGGAGCATGAGACGCGGGGATAGAGACAACAGGGTGAGGGGGGAATGGGCACAGTGGGAGGGGAGTGGGGAGCAAGGGAGGAAACGGGGTGGGAGAGGAGGGGGATTGAGACGATAGGAGAGGGAAAGGGTAGTTCAAGAGGCACCCATGAAGGGTTGCACGAGATGCAGAAAATTGTGGCAAGCAGGTCGATCACAAATGCAGACCCATGTGACATGCATGTACGTGCATGTGAACACAACAGATACAAGGAGGTGAGCATACACTCATTCCGGGGACAGGCGATGGTGGGATAGAGAGCAAGGAACGGACGGCACTGATGAGTCAGTGGGGAGAGGGAGGCACATGTGGGGGAGGAACATGTGGGGGAGGCACATGTGGGGTGAGGCACATGTGGGGGAGGCACATGTGGGGGAGGCACATGTGGGGGAGGCAGCAACGGAACGTACGCGAGGGCGGGTTCCAAGACTCGCTCGTAGAAGACCGCTGAGAGCTGCGCGTGTGCCAGACTGCAGACAGAGGATGCGGCATGAGTGAGGAAAGGTGGGGGCGTAGGTATGAGGGAGGTCAGGCATGAGGGAGGTCAGGCATGAGGGAGAGAGACTGGGGACGGGTGCAGCAGGATGAGGAGGGCGAGTGTGCTCTTGATGTCACACGCACGACATGCACTGCTAGCACCGAGACAAGACGACTCAACCAAGACAGTTCACTTCAACCATTTCACGCGAGACACGTAACTTCAAACAAGTCACCCGACGCATTTCACCCAAGCAGTTCACTCTAGAAATTCACCTGAGCGCCCAGAGACGGAGGTAGGAGGCAGTATTGGAGACAGCCCCAAGCACAAACTCAATGCAGTGAATCATCTGATGCACCATCACCTCCCCAAACTCAAACTCATCCTCCTCCTCGCCCTCCTCCTCCCCGTTCGCCCCCGCCTCGCCCTCGCTGCCTGGCAGCGCGTGGTACGTACGCCCTGCCATCTTCTGGAAGGAAGGAAGGGGGAGTGGAGAGAGGGAGGGGGAGGGGGAAAGGGAAGAGGGAGTGGGAAGGGGGAGAGGGAAGGGGGAGTAGGAGGGGGAGAGGGAAGGGGAGAGTGAAGGGGGCGAAGGTGTGAACACATGGTGGTTAGGTGCGCCCTGGCATTTTCTAGAGGAGGAAGGGGGTTGGATGCATGATGAGTGAATCGGACACATGGTTGAGTTGTGGTGGTGGCGATTATGGTTAACAGGCAATCCATCCACACAACACATTGGTTGGGAAGCGTGTTGGGAAGCAAGGCATTGCTGCGAGGGAGGTTGGGGAGGGTGGGTAGGGGTGGGAATGGGGGAGGGGTAAGAAGGCGAATAAGGCGAACAGAAGCTATCCCCCCATGCAGTGCGCTCTCTCTTGCTTGCCTCACCTGGATGTGCTGGGCGCGCAGGATGAGGGGCTTGGGCAGCAGCATCCACGGCACCGACACGAGTGCGATGAAGAGCAGCACGATCTGCAGTCCACACACACACACAAGCCGAGCAACACACGCACGCACGCACGCATACACGCACACACCCATCCATGCATGCACACACAAGGCAGGGTGGCCAATTGGATGCAAGATAGGATTTTGAAAGCTACAGGAGGGCCTGGGAGCATGAGCCCATTGCCCTGACCTGCAGTCTCACTCACACCAGCCACACATCCCATTCATGCTACCAATCCTCCCTCTTACAGAATCACATGCAGTCCTTCACTCACACTTTCACGTACTCTCACTCCCACTCTACACACACTACATAATTACATTGCATGCCCCTCACTCTCCACCGAACACTTGCTCACACCTTCACGATGGTTCGACTCAACAGGCTCTCAGCGTAAAGCCTGACGCGCTACTGGGAAGCCTGAGAGCCCCAATGCCCTCCCTTCCTCTCACTCATGCATTGAAGCCCCCCAGCTCGGCCAACCCTGCACTACCTGCTCTGTGCTCATCTATATCCCATTGATCTCCCAGACTTTATCGCTCACCTGCACGGTGCCCTGGCCGTAGAACAGCTCGTTATCCCCCAGCGGCTCAACGGGGTTGAGGAACATGTAGATCATCACGTGGTATAGGTCCGCCTGGGAGCCGGTGATCCACTTGAGGATGATGAGCATGGAGAGGTAGCCGAAGAGCGAGCCCAGAAAGAGCATCTGCGGGATGAACTCGTACCTGCGGGGAGGGAGGAGAACAAGGTGGCGGGGGAAGAAGGTGGCCGGGGGAAGAAGGTGGCGGGGGAAGAAGGTGGCGGGGGAGAGAAGGGGTGGGGGAGAGACGGGGTGAAGGAGGAAAACAAAAGCGTGAGAGGAGGGGAAGGAGGGGAAGGATGAAAGGAAAAGACGGAAGACTGAAGACTGAGGAGCCGGAGGGAGGAAAACGAACTCCAAAAAAGCAAGCAGAAGAACAGAGGCCAAGCTGAAAGTTCGAAAGCACAGACCAAACGTGGGAAAAAATGTTGTCAGCAAACATCGGAAAAAATGCTGACTATTCACCTTGGCGTGCCGACCAGATTCCGGCCCACTCATACCAACCAGACGTAGCTCTAATGGACCAGACGTTGAGGGCACTGACCACATGTTGAGGGGATTGTTGAGATGTTGAGGGAACTGACCAGATGTTGAGGGGTTTCTTGAAGAACTGCGCGTTGAAGAAGGAGAGGATGATGCCGGCAAACATCTGCGTGACGCCGAGGATGATGCTCATCTTCATCTTGAGCGAGTTGAGGAACGGCAGCTCCGTGCGCGACCCCTTCCACGCCGGGTCCACACCAAACAGGTACGTCGCCCCGTCCTTCACCAGCCCTGCTGTGCCCGAGTCACTGGGACAGGGGGGTTGGGCGAATTAGGAGAATGGGATACGTCAAGTTGCATGTTGCTATTTTTGAGCCGCATAGAGAACTGTCTTTTTTTCATGCTGTGAATGAGTGATGATCACATTCAGAAACGAGAGCGGATGATGCAGATGCAGAAGGTGCAGCAAAAGTGGAACAGGAAGAGAGGGAGGGGAATGAAAGGAAGGAAAGGAGAGGGAACAGAGGGAGGTGAGAGTGTGGAGGGAAAGAAGGGAAGCAAGGCAGGGGAGGGAAGGGAGGCAAGGGAGGGGAGGGAAGGGAAGGGTGGTAAGGAGATGGAAAGGACACTGGCAGGCAGAGGGGCATGTAGCAATGGTAGGCAGCGGCAGGAGGGTAGGGAAGAGATGGAAGGGAGGAAAGGAAGGGAGGGAGAGACGGAAAGGGAGGGAGAGAAGGGAAGGGAGGGAGAGACGGAAAGGGAGGGAGAGAAGGGAAGGGAGGGAGAGACGGGAAGGGAGGCACGAGTAGGGAGGAAGCACTGACTGGCAGTCTAGAGTGGTATCGCAGTAGTGGTAGGAAAGTGAAGGAAAGGCGGGGGAAGGGGAGGGAGGGACGGAGAGAGAAGGGCTACTGACTGGCAGTCGGGCGTGCGGCAGTGGTAGGCGGTGCCGCCAAAGAGAGAGAAGTCAAAGGCGAGGGAGAAGAACTCGTTGTAGATGAAGCCGGTGTAGATGGAGAAGATGGACATGAGCAGAATCACGTAGCGCCCCCCAAACGCCATCTCCGTTATGTCGTCCAGCTTCTGCAGCAGGGCAGGGCAGGAGGGTGTGCACAGGAAAGGGGGGGGAGGGGGGGGGGGGAGGAGATGCAGTGGCACAAAAGGGAAGAGAATCACATACCGCCCTGCAGTGCGGGAGCAAAGGTGAGCCGATTGAACCCATGTGCTCAATGGCTTAGATGAGACGGCATCAACCCAGCATGCCTGGGAGCCGAGCTCCATGTAAAGCGAGGTGAGCAGCGTGAGCGCAGAAACGAGAAGAGAGCAGATGAGAGAAGCACGGGTTTTAGAGCAGCATGTGCGTGGGAGCCAAGATGGAGCAAGGTGAGCAGCAACCCAACGTGCCTGGCAGGCAGGCCATCAACCACCCAACGTGCCTGGGAGCAGAGCTTCGTCTCGTTAAGAGGTAGAGCACGGCGAGCAGCATGAGATGAGCGTATGAGCGAGAGCAGATGAGTAGATGAGCGGCATGTGCGTGGGCGTAGAGACAGAACAAAGTGAGCCGCACGTGCCTGGGAGCCGAGCTTCTTCTCGTTGAGCACAAGCCAAAGCGCGGCGAGCAGCATGAGGGCGCCGTGGCCCCAGTCGCCAAACATGATGGCGAAGAGGAAGGGGAACGTCATGATGGAGAACACGCCCGGATTCGCCTCTTGGTACCGCGCCACTCTGAGGGGTGGTGGGGGAGCGGGAGGTGTGTGTGGGGGCAGGCAGGAAACGTGTGGGGGCAGGCAGGGGACGTGTGGGGGCAGGCAGGGGACGTGTGGGGGCAGGCAGGGGACGTGTGGGGGCAGGCAGGGGACGTGTGGGGGCAGGGGTTCAGGTCGGGTGAAGGAGAGGTAGCTGTGGCTCGTGACGAAACATGATGGTGCATGATGGAGAACACCCCCGGATTCGCCTCCCGCTACCGCATCACTATGGGGGTTGTAATGTCAAGGCAGCGGGCATGTGTGGGTTGTGGAGGCAGGCAGTGGAGTGCGGGGAGGGGACATGGTGTGGGGGCAGAAGGGAGGTCATTGTGGTTAGTTTCTGTGCATGCCTGAAGAGGAATCACGCCGGGTTGGCGGAGATAAGAAGAATGAGAGGAGGAACGTCCATTCCCCCTTGAGGGTGGGCATGGGAATTAGAAGGAAGGGTGCGGTGCAGCACGTGAAGCCCGTAGGCGTCGACGATGGCCTGGAAGGCGGAGGTGAACTTGTTGGTTTGAAGAAAGTAGATGGGCGCTGTGTGCAACGAATGCTAAGGTCATCTCAAAGCTCCCCAGTCCAAGAACCCAGAGTCATGACATAGGAATGACGAGAATAAGAGAGGGAATTTAGATTGAGCTCACCCGTAGGCGTCAACGATGGCCTGGAAGGCACCAGTGAACTGGTTGGTGCGGAAGAAAATCCATGCGCCATCCATACTCGTCAGCATGCGAATGAAGGTGGGGTGGGCTCACCCGTAGGCGTCAACGATGGCCTGAAAGGCGGAGGTGAACTTGTTGGTGCGGAAGAAGGTGGGTGGCGCCTCTCTGGCGCGCAGTGTGTGGAAGATGGTGCTCACTGCCGCGTTGCTCGCCGCCATGCCCCGCTCCAACGCCTCCTGCACCTGGTGTCATGTGCATTGCATGTACACCATCCATGCGGCATGCATTGCGTGTGCACCATGCATGTGGCACACACCATGCATGTGGTAGGTGCGCCATGGATGTGCCAAGTGCCATGTGGCAAGTGCCATGTGCCATGTGTGGTGCGCCATGTGCGGTGTGCCACGTGCAGTGTGCCATGTGCCATGTGCGGTGAGCCATGATCGGAGAGCCATGTGCGGTGTGCCATATCCACCATGTGACAGTCCATGTGCCATGTGTCATGTAACAAGTGAGATGTGCACCATGTGCCCATGTGCCAGGCCATGTGCATACGCCCATCACGTGTTCATGTGCATGATCCCATGTGTACGCGCATGATCCCATGTGTATCCGCATGATCCCATGTGTATCCGCATGACCCCATGTGTTTCCGCATGATCCCATGTGTATCCGCATGACCCCATGTGTATCCGCATGACCCCATGTGTTTCCGCATGATCCCATGTGTATCCGCATGACCCCATGTGTTTCCGCATGATCCCATGCGTGCATGTGCGTTCCCCCAAGCGCACGTGCCCATGTGCCCAAATGCGAGTGGTCATGCTCCCAGGGAAAGCAATCAGGAAAGAGGGGAAGGAAGAGGTTAGGTCAAACTGTTGGGCGTGCATCTTTCAGCTAGAAATAGGAAGACGTGCACTGTACACTCAAGCAGCCAGAGAGAGGTTGGAACGGGGAGGGAGGAGGCGGGAGGGGAGACATGGGAGGGGAAAAGAACAGGAGAAGGAAGAGGAAGGAGCAGGAGGAAGGAAGGAAGGAAAGCAAAGGAGGGGAGGGAAAATAAAGGAGCATGGAAGAGCAAAGCTGACGGAAAAGACTGAACTACAGTAGCACGGCAACACAGCCAATGAAATGGGCAGAGATCAGGAACCACTCGGCCAAAACAACAGCTGGGCAGCAAGCAGACGAACCTTGACGAGTGCGGAGGTGGGGCACCAGGCCTCAGCGACAAGGCACTTGCGCGTGACGTCGATGGAGAGCTGGTTGAGCACGTGGTACACCGCCTTCTCATTGCGCACCTGGTGGTGGGGGGTATGAGAGGAGAGATCAGAGGAGGGGGGAGACGGGAGGCAGGGGAATGGGAGAGAGGAGAGGCGGGATGCGAAAGGTAAGGGAGCTGGTTGAGCACGTGATACACCACCTTCTCGTTTCGCACCTGCCCGGGGGAATGAGAGACGGGGGAAGGGAAGGGAGAGGTTGCAGTGGGAAAGGGAGAGGGGAGAGGGGAGACGAGGGGTGAGGGTCAATGGAGAGCTGGTTGAGCACGTGGTACACCGCCTTCTCGTTTCGCACCTGGTGATGGGGATGGGAAGGTGAGGAGGAACGGGAAGAGGAGAGTTGGGAGGGGAGAGGGGAGAGGGGGAAGCGAGGGGAAAGGATCAGAAGGTGAGAGGGAAGAGAACAGGTTGTGCATCTGGTGATGGAATCATGCGCCAGAACGTGGACACGAGAGAACGTGGGAATGTGGGAACGTGGGAACAACGAGAGATGCGAAGCTAGTAAATTCATAGTGGGTCACCTTCTCGTTAAGCTGTGAAAATAATCAAGAGAAAGATGAGGGACCGCGAAAGACGTCAGTTGAGGAGGGGGAAAGGTGCGAGAAGGTGGAAGATGTGCGAAGGAGAAAAGGAGGGACGTGGCGGAGACGCACTAAGTGGGACGGACAGGAGAAGGGGAGGGTGGGAGTAAGGGGAGCATAAGGAGAGTAAAGTAAACAGAGCCCAAAGACCCAGAGAGACCCAGAAGAGATCCAGAAGAGACCCAGAGAGGTGCAGAGAGGCGCAGAGGGGTTAAGAAGGGCGCAGGCACGGACCAGCAAGGTCCAGCGGTCGATGTAGACGCTGATGCTGTTGAGCACGTTGTCTCGGTGGCGGTTGCCCGCGTCTATCGCCGTCTGCAGCTCCCCCAGCCGCCCCCGCACCTGCAGGAGGCGCGGCGGGAGACCGAGCGAGGGAAGAGAGTGACGCAGGAGTGAGGGGGGTGACGCAGGGGCGAGGGCGGTGACGCAAGATTGCAAGTGGGAGGGAGCGGGAGATGCTTCACAGGAACACGAAAGGTAAATTGGTGCAGAATGAAAGAAAAGTCAAAGAGAGTGTGGAAGTGCGGGAACGGGACAAGAGTGCGGGGACAAATCAGAGAAAGCGAGAGAGCACGTGGGGGTTAAGGGGGCGCGGGATGGGGAGGGAGGAAGGGAGAAGGAGGGGAAAGGGGTAATGGACAAACGAAACAAAAAACCCCTCAGAGCAACGGCATGGCACGAACAAGCGCACACACCTCAGCGAGCATCTGGCGCTGGCGCGCGGGCTCCTCCGGGAAGGGGTAGCGGTTGGCGCCGAAGGCCTCGCAGATGCGCATGATCTTAGTGCGCGCGCGGTCGCCCGAGAAGAACACCACGAACACCACCTTCTCCACCTGCGCGCATGGGGGGGCACGATTCGGGGGGGGGGGGGGAGGAAGGGGGGGAGGAAGGGGGGGAGCGGGGGAGGGACGGGGAGATGGCAGGACGAGGGATCACGTGAGAGGGTTGAATGAGTGAGAAGGATTGTAACGAAACGGGGTACTGGTTGGCGTCAAGAGTTGCTCGTGATCTTGGTGCACGCACGGTCGCCCGAGAAGAACCACGAACACCACCTTCTCCACCTGCGCGCATGGGGGGGCACGATTGGGGGGGAAGGACAGGGTTGGAGGAGATGGGGAGAGAACGAGGAGGAGTGTAACGAAAAAGGAGTACTGCTTGGCGTCAAGAATCCTCGCGATTTCGGTGCACGCGCGCTCGCCAGAAGCGGGGTCCAGCACGGGCTCGTCCACCACCTGCTTCTTCAGAAGCCGAACGTGGCGCGAAACAGCACCGTCCACATTCAATGGATCCCCAACTGTGAGCCCGCAACCTTCCCTCCCAGCCGCGCCAGCTCACCTCTTCGCCAGTGGCGGAGTCCAGCACGGGCTCGTCCACCACCTGCTGCTTCGGAAAATGTTGCCGCGCGTGGCGCGGAACAGCAGCATCCACATTCAATGAACGCGCACCTGTATACTCGCAACCTTCCCTCCCATCCCAGCCAGCTCACCTCTTCGCCGGTGGCGGGGTCGAGCACGGGCTCGTCCACGACCTCCTGCTTCAGAAACATGTTGCCGCGCGTGGCGCGGAACAGCAGCCGCTCGAACGTGAGTACTTTGCTCAGCGGCACCAGCCCCGTCACAAACCCCAGCCGCTTGCTCGAATCCGACGCCATCTCCTGGATAGCAAAAGGGTGCGAAACAGGGAGGGCGAGAAAAGAGAAGGGCGAGAAAAGAGAAGCGCGAGAAAAGAGAAGCGCGATCACGGTATGAATATAAATGAAAAAGGAGGGAAGAGGCAGGACCGGCTAGAAGAAAGCACCAGGGAAGAAGAAAGCACTCCTGATGCAGGGAGAGCAAGCCGTGCATAGACGTCCCCTCTCGTGCCGTGCCTGGTCGAGACCAGCAACCTCTCCGAATCTCGCACTCCGCCGCGCTCATCAAGACGATGGGAGTAACTGGGGCCGGTTTTACCCGGAATGGTGCATTTTAGGAGGGAACGGGGAGGGCGCACCTGCTCGAGCAGGAGCGGGCTGTCCATGGATGAGCTCTCGCGGATGGACGACACGCGCACGATCTCCCGCTGGTAGTCCGCCGCGCCCATCTGCGCGCTCGCGAAGAACGACCCCGCCTGGAGTCGCATGCAAAGACGCGGGAGACGGAGAGAGATCAACGAAGAAAAGGAGGTTAGTATGGCGTAGAAAGAGAAATGAGGAGGGAACAGTGGAAAGTTCTAGGGCGTGGATCTAAGCGTAAGATGAGATTGAACGATGTACACGGAACGAGCATCAACGGTGAGGAGCCCTTTGGTAATGAGTTGAGTTTCCAGAGACGGGCGGATCAAAGACCAGCCGACCGAGGAAGGAATAAGTGCGGGATGCTTGAAAAGACGAGGCGAGATCACTATCACCCACATTGTCCACATGTCGACATTACTGCAGATGATCAACACAGTCGCACCTCATCGTTATTGACAGCGTATCGCACCTATTCCAGAACGATCACCGGAACTTGAGAGATCCGCGCACGCAAGCCGATGACGCGACTTAAAAATACTCTTCAGCATTGTTCATACATTCCATCATCCAATACCGCCTCTCTCCATCAACTTATCACCCTCCATCAATCCTTATCAGCCCCTCATCAGCACATTAATCATCCTCGTCAGCATCTTATCGGCATGTTTCGCACCTTTTCCAGGACGAGCTTGAGCTCCGTGAGCTCATTGCGCGTCTTGAGCAGCTTCTCCGCATTGCCGTTGATCTCCAGTAGCTCCGCCTCCAGATCGTTCAGCTTCAGCTGCACCAGAACACGCGAAAGCAAGCAAATAAACAATAAAGCAAGCACAGGATCAGCGAAAGCGTGCAACCAAAAGTGCAGCATCCACGACATTGGCATGAACTCTCGGATACAAAAACCTATCAAAAAATGTATTGAGATCTGTTGTAGACTGCTTCGACGATATCGACAGGCCAGTTCGTCTCCATCTACATTTTCCGTCTAAGACGACGGACCTCGAGATCATCCAGGTCGAGATCCTTGTCGAGCGTCCGCGGTTGGGTGGGGAGAATCCCAGCCTTCAGCGACTGCTCTTTCAAATACCGCAGCTTGCGAGACATCTCGCCACATCGCTTGACCTGATGCAGCGATCAGAGGAAAGCAACAAATATATAAATAAAAAGGCTGTCAGCGACGGTAACACGACATTGAACTCCCTAGGCATGAAAATATAGACATATGAAAATCGATAAAGAAAAGAGGAGAAAATAAACGCACTTGGTTCGCATATGTTCGTTGAAACGGGCTCTTGTCCGGGTTCATCTGCGAGAGACGTGAAGCACGGAGAAGTGAGGCGGAAACGTCGAGATTAGATTTCTACTACTGAGAACATGATCAACTACAAAGCGCAACCCGTTACAGACGAAAATTAAATCTCAGCTAGGTCCCTACATCTTTAAACTGGACAAGGCCGAGCTCTCCGAGATAAGAAATAGTGTCATGCGCCGCTTCCGCGGGAATAATGAGCTGCATCAGCTGCATTTCCTCGGACCGAAACAGGTCCATCACGGGCTCGGACCCCATGGCTGCCTCTTAAGGAGACAACTTGTTTTACGAAACCCTAATGCCTTCAATCTATTAGCCAAGCTGTGGGAGGCCCCACAGCGCGAAAATTCGTAGCCTGGAATTACTGGCGCCTAGAATGGCAAGCCAAACCAAACAAGTCTCACGTCAACCTCACTCACACTAGGGAATCAGGGAAGCAAGGAAGCAGAGCAAGCTGGAGGGAAGGGGCAAACAACGGAGGTCACTGGAAGCCAGAGTGGTACAGTACGGCGGACTGGCGATATCCACCTGCCTGCACTCGGCATTTCCCGACTGGCTGGACCCTGAACTGAACAGCCCAGCGTGCGTCCTATCTCCCCTCTTCCCCGCAAGAATTAGGGCGTGTCACCTCGGACGTTCAAAGGCGCTTGTTTGAATAAGCATCGTACTAAACCAAATTGATTAAGTTCTAAACCGTACTGTAACGAATTCAGCCCCCAGAATTTTGGAATTCGAACAACTGGTTACCACCCGAGGTGACACGCGCCACCCTCGTGCAGGAACTTCCTCCCGCAAAAATCCCCGCACCCTGATCCGAACCTGCTCGCGCGAGAGAGGAACAAACGCAGCTGCGCTGACGCAAAACCCGCGGCCCAACTGGAAGCGGCGAAAATGGAGGGAGGATGTCGTGCGTGCCTCAGCATTAGTTCGTGTCCGTAGGGATGACATGTCAACAAGGGCGTGTCAACCCGAAGCGCTTTCGAGCTAGAGTGTCAAACACTGTAGCTGTAGTGTCAAGTCGAAGCGCATGTGCGAAAATCAGCGACGCAATTTCATTGGTTGGAGAACTTGTCATTTGTAGACCTCATAGGCAGTGAGCGAATCGAAAGAAAGATGATTGGGGAAGGTGTTTGCTGATTGGGCAGTACCTGGTCGTGAGATATGCCGCTGCGACAATCTTCTCTCGTTTGTAGGTATGATGTGCAAAAACAGAAAGTGCCCGACGATTTGTATTGGCTGGCAACCTGCAAATTTTTTACACTCTGCCAACAATGTTGGCTGAGTGTCAAAATGCCAAATTGACACTGCCCATTTGACATGTCATCCCTACGGACACGACCTTATTCGCCAGGAAGGTCTGGGACCGAACAAGGTTTAAAGGTTTTTATTAGGTCGTAACCTTATTACAGACATGCAACAAGATGAGGATATAGGCAGAGCCAAGCTCCCCGTAGGGAGCACGTGTAAGCACGTCATCCTCCTACTACAGAAGCAGAGGTGTCCAAGGACAAATATCTTGCTGACATGTGGCAAGGGGGAGAGGATCGAGTCAAGGAGGGTGGAAGATGTCGTTGAGAAGCCAGGTAGCACGCAGGTCTGGGTGGATGATGGGCACGTCAGCGTCGGTGAGCTGAAAGAACCGATACGATTGGGCCAACTTGGCAATCCGTTTGGCTTTGGCCTGCTTCTTCCTCGAACCCTTAGAACAACGCCACAATAGGATTTTGTAGGCTAGCAGACAGTAGTGTAGAACTTGAAAAAGTGCATCCCCTGTCTTGGTGGTGGTCTGTCTGTAACGAAAACTGCAGCGGGCATTCCAAATGGTTTTTGCAGCCGCACCAACAGGGAGACTCCATGGAGCCCCCTGCCCTGCTCCGGCAGAAAGCGGAAATAGAGTCAGTTCTGGTAAGGTGGAGATGCCTAGATGGCTGCTGGCAGTGCGTTGAAGGGCATCGATGACCGGCTTTGCCACGCCACACTCGAAAAAGAGATGTGGAAGAGTCTCGAGTTGTCCACTGGAGCACCCAGCGCAGGCACCCTTATCCCGTCCAAAGCTGAATCTGGAGCCAGACGGAAGAGCAAGCGTGTAAAGGCGGAAAAGAACGTCACGCTGCGACTAAGGTTGCTCTGAGAGAAAAGGATGCTTATAGTCGGGGAAGAGCGGTGGGCCGGGACTCGGGAACAGGTTAGTCCAGCGGGGAGGGTGGGTGAGTTCCTGTTTAATGTACAAGAGATCACGAATGGCCGCTAGGGACGGGAATCCGTCGTTGAGCAGGGGGAAGCGGGCCGCGAGACCAGCGCCAGAGCAGAAGGAGCCTCCGAGCCATCGGTCGAAAACGTGGACAGGAACGGTGTCCAGAGGAGAAAGAAGACGGCGCTCCGTGGCTTCCTTTGCTACTTGGCCTGTGTTATCCACAAAAAACATGTTAGCGAAGAAAGTCCCATCCGTCAATGGCTCATCCACCTCAAAGACGATATTGGGAGGGGAGAACATATCGGCTGCGAGCATGACCCAATCGCCTGTGTACAGGGGGACCAGACTGTGAGAGGACGCCAGAGCCGCCCACCATTCTTTGGGCATTGCGTCATAGACCTCGTTGATGATCCTGCGGCTGCAAGGGTAAGTGCTGGGGGGGTATTGGGCCATGATTTCTGCATTGGTGAGCCGTCGAGCGCCGGAGGCAGTGCGCTGAACAATGTGACCGATCCGTACCTCCTTGGCGAGTAGGAAACCTTCTTCTTTGCGCCGACCAAAAGGCCGCCCGTCAGGTTTAACAATGAACCGGTTAAACGGCACAGGTTCTGCCAGGAGTCACCAAAACTCCTGACGAGGAGAGGAGACCTCTAGCGACGCTTCCATCAGGCTGCTGACTTCCTCGCACACTCGGAGGGGGGTGGAGGGGGGAAGGGCAAGGACATAGTCCGCATGTGAGAGAAAGTCATGAAGGCCAAAGGGAATGGGAATACATGTCCTGGCAACAGAAGCATCAGGAAGAGGTGAGAGGCGACGCAAGGCACGCTGAATGTTGAGGGCCTTGATCTGAACGGAAGGCCGGATTGCCCCCAAACCGCCGTGTTCGGTTTTGTTGTATAAAACCGTGTGTGTGAGGAGGCGCGTTGTTCGTCCTGCAGAGACGTATTTGGAAGCAGACAGGAAGTTGCCAACAGTATCGTCCAGAGCCTTGGTGGTGGGAGACGGGGGGGGCTGGAAGCGTGCAGGGAAGGTGAGGGTCGAATTCAGATTTTCCGAGGCCAGGAGGTGGCATGAAGATGGGAGAGGAGATTGGCTGAGCGCTTAATCTTTGAGAGTGCATGGCTCCACGTGACGTCCGTCTGCCTGGAGCTGCCGACGAAAATGCCTAGAATCCTCCAGGCACCATACTTGTCCTTTGTCGCAGGCAGGTGTGCAGATTCCTGCAGGTGCTTGCGGTGGAGCTCGGAACTGAGGTGGTACATGGCGCTGTCCAACGCCAAGCCACACTCGAACTCGCACAGAGAACACGACCAAACCTCCACATCCAAGTCGACCCCAATCAGGAGAAGTCCGGGGTCCTTCTTGAAGGCTGCGGGGGCTGGCTGCTGGCCAATCAGTCGCCCTGCGTGATGGAAGGCAAGAAAAAAGAGTGCATAGAAGGAAGGGGAACAGACTCACATGGCACGGGGGCCGGCAAGGCGAGCACCGTGGAGCCCGGGACCACTGAACATAGAAACCGCATAGGCAGAAGCCGTCGGTGGAACACATCACCAGAGGCAAGGTGAGCAGGATGGCTAGAAACCAAGTCAGAAAAAGCGACCAAACAAGCCAACAGAGGATCACCATACCGTTGACAGCTTGCAGCTGGGCCACCGAGATGGTGTGGCGGTTTGGGAGTCGCGCGCGGCGGGTGAGGGCAAAGCACGCATGGTCAGCCACTCGGTGGTTACTGGAGCACACGGTGCACGAATGGGACGAGATGTTGAGAAGCACAGGGTCCTCCTGCTGAGTGAGCCAGAGGACAGCCGGGATGCGATCGAAACCAGCGTCGCCATCCGCCGCAACGGGAAGGCCGAGCAGCTGAGAGTACGCGGACTCGTCATATGGATCCTTGAGCCTGTGGAACAGGCGGAGGTCGGCCAGCCAGGGCAAGCCGGAGTCGGTCCTGCCTGCCAGGAGGGTGCTGCGAAGGCGCTCGAGAGAGTACCCCAGCGGCACATTACGGAGAACTAGGTGGGTATCTCCCCTGGCGCGGGCGGTCGTGAACTCTTCGTTGGGGTCAGTGAAAACCTTAACCTCCATAGCACGGTTATTAGACAGACGCACAGTAACCGGAAACAGACTGCGGAAAATACAGGCATCATTGGCTGAGGGCCAGGAGTAGGAATGCCTGGAATAGGTGCGGCGCGGGAGCCGCAGGGCCTCACCAGCAGCAGCTTCAAACGAGGGAATGACGCCATTGAAGGCCTGACCATTGATGAGCGAGGAGATACGCGCAAGAACAGAAGCACGAACCTCCTCCGCCGAGGACTCGGGAAAGATGATGTCGACCAGCGACTGCGTGTTGCGAGTCATCGCCTGCAGGACCGTTCCGACCGTCGTGCGGTGGCGACGAAGATTCCGATAGCGAGCGTTGGGAGCCAGGCCCGTGGCCAGACCAGCAGCAGCAGGCTCAAGTTCAGGTTCCGGCGGCGCAGGCCGAGAACGGGAAACAGGCGCCGGACGAGGCGCGGAGGGAGCAGGCGCGCGGACAGTCGAGGGGCCCGTGGCAGCAGAGCTACCGGAAGAGCTTGCGCGGGGGATCGGAGGAGGCGCCGAGTGAGACGCCGAGGCGACGCCAGAGGCACCAGCAGCCAAGGGTTGCCCCTCACTGCACAGCTTTTTAGCGGCGGGTTCACCCGTCGGGGTCGACTGAGCACCGGCAGGAGCGGAAGTCGCAGCACCATCGTGGAGATCGGGAAGGACTCCGTCAGGCAGATCTTCGAGGAACTCGTCTCCGAGCTCACTGGGACCGAACAAGGGTAAAGGCAGGTCAGGAACAAGCCCATAACATGTCGAGCATGATACCGTAAGCCCTGCCAAGAAAAGTCTCGGAAAAAAACGCGTTTTTGCATCACTCGTTTGCAAGACTATCGAGACCTAAAAAGAACTCTAGCATTCGAATCGTATGCATGAGCATTTTCTACCATAGGTCTGACGCAACTGCTAGAGAAAAACACTAGATCTGGATTGGTAACCTGTTCTGCAGAGGCCTGTAATAATCGTTCACACTATTTGTCTGGGTTTTTGTATCTCAGTAGATGCAAATATACATTCCCCACCAAGAACCTACCAGACTTAAAATTGGTAGAGACCTCAGCAAAAACATATGCATGGCCCTTGGGCAAAGGACCTAAGTCAATCCCTAAGATCGAGCAGCAGAGGTATTTCAGGTTTCGTCTCAGCCCTCGTCCCTCCTTCGCCAATGTTGCTCTGTCCTCACAAAGTTGTCTCCACATCATTGAACCAAGAGAGGGCAATGGCAACGATTGGATCCAGGGCCCCCGCATCCAGCGACCGGAAGACTGATACCCGGTGACCCCCCACTTTAGTAAAAGCGGCGACTTTAGCTCCAGGGTAGCCACCAGGCTCCCTGTGCGACAGCACCAGAGCTCGATTCTCCCAGGTCTTCACCAATTCCACCATGGATGGACCAAGGTCAAGATTAGACCCATCTTGCTGCATGGGAAGAATTCAAACCACGCACACAATGAAGACTGTCAAAAGACCAGACACAAGGCAAGGGCATATATTCTATTTAAATGCTGCGTCAGAGAAAACCATGCTTGACTGAATGTGGACTCTGGGTGTTTGACAAGCCTACCTGAACCGGGGGCGGGGAGATGGCAAGGTAGTTGCTGGAGATGTTGATTCCTACTGGCAGCCCGTTGCTGTACACTCGAGCCTCGGTCTCGGGCCCACACCTGAAACTCAATCCTGGTCTCTGGTTCCACTCGCCGTCACTCAACTCAGTCACCACCATCATAAGAACCTCTCCCGTCAAACCGTGCTGCATTTCCAGACAAGAAATTACAATGCCAAGAGCACAGTTAGGCAACATTGAACAGTGAGCTCCTGATGAGTTGGGGCCGACGAGAAGCATGAGGATCTAGCACAGCCGAGAATCTAGCACAGTGAACCTTGTGTTGCAATTAAATGAGGATCACCAGAGAAAATCATTCCACCAGCCACCTTGGCTATAGACGATCATAGAAGAACACGGAGAAAAAGGGCAAGTCTACAACCTCCACGCCCATAATGAACACGCACCCTGATGTTCGCCGCATTTTGTCCTCGGAGGTACTCCAGGCGTAATAGGGGCCGAATCTGCAGCCACAAGCGTTTAAGGACATCGAAAAATCACTTTCACCATTTGGACATGGAACAGGGATCGTATAACCGAGCGCAGGGTTGCTTTTGGCGGTGTGAATTAACAATAAAAATGATAGTCGGCTCTTGCATCCGCCCATTCTGCACCAACCACTCTTCACCTTCGCACTCTCTCAACCCACTCAGCAGCCTTGAAGTCGTCGCTCTCGCCTTCCCCCAACCACCTTACTAGCCCTCGAGTCTTCCCTCTTCCTTATTCTTCACCTACTTGATCCCTCGGAAGTCTCCCTGTACGTGGCTCCCCCCCCCCCTTGCTAAGCGTGATGGTTTCCGGCTCTCTCACACGTTTACCGGCTTTGAAGTCTAACCCCTCACCTGTTTAACAGCTCTGAATGCTTTCCACTCACCTGTTTAACAGCTCTGAATGCTTTCCACTCACCTGTTTAACAGCTCTGAATGCTTTCCACTCACCTGTTTAACAGCTCTGAATGCTTTCCCCTCACCTGTTTAACAGCTCTGAAGTCTTCGGCTGACAGGTCGCCCGAGTACACAAGGCGGTCGTGGCTCAAGGCGCCGCGCGCTGGGAAGAGAGTGACTGAGTTGTGCGCATTGCTGAGGGCGAGAAACAGGAAGAATCCAGAACAGCGAGTTGAAGGGTTCTAAATGTTTGTGTCAGTTACAAACATCATTGGAGTCTGACCAGTAGGACTGTGCAGGAAAGGAGTGGTTGAAGGAGGTTGGGAACGGTTGGACAGCTTACCCGAGATTCTCTCTCAACACCGACAGCACCACTGGCTCTGCTCGATGCTTCTTTGCCTGAAGCGAGAAAGTCACGCGGAAAGGGGCGAGAGAGAGGAAAGAGGGAACAAGCGGGTGGAGTTGGAGTAACGATAGTCAACAAAACATACCCATTTTTGGCTGCAAAAGTACAAGAATGTCAATTTCTACTGCGAATTCGTTTGTCAGCAAGTCGCGAAATACAAGAGATGACCAGAATTGTTCCTCACTTACTTGTTCGATTGTCTCTAATGGACTGATCTTCGAGAGCAGTAACCCCATCTTTCAGCCTGCCCACGTTTTCGATGCTTCTTAAGAGAAAGCGTGCTTTGGCGCCAAGTAAACTAACTGGCGGTGAAAGTCCAGCAGAGATGTATGACACTGCGACCAAATCGATGAGCAACTGAGATTTGTCTCAGGAAGCTAGCTAACAACTCTCTTCTGAAGTTCAGAAGCTTTTAAAAACCAAGCGGAAGCCAGGGAGAGGGACGTTAAAGGGTAAGCTAAAATTGCTTTAACCAAGTCTCTACGCTACCTCGCCAAGTGATTGCTCGAGTCGAAACGAATCACAAGACGCAGCTGTGGCTCCGTGAACGCCCACAAACACTTGCTCCTATCAGGAAGTGGGCAACACAACCAGGAAAACATGTATGTACAGATTATGGTAAGCCTGTGCGTTGAGTCCTGGCTACTCGACCTCGCTCATGAGCTCGGCTTTGCTTCATGAAGTTCTCCTGTCGGCCATCCTGTGCCTGGCAGGTAGCGAACATCCACAAACAACTGCGGTGGTGGCGTGGTGTGGTGTGCGATGTGAAGAGATGAAACACCCTGGCGGTTCGTGTCAGGTCAGGTACTTTCACCAACCGTTGGGCCACCCGAATTGCGCGGGAAGCTGACATTTCGTCAAAGTCACCGCCATCGCGGTCCGAATGGCCCGTTAGCTGGCAATGCCCATCAATCTACACCCAGGTAGCAAATAAGACTTGGAATCTCATATCCCATCTTTTGTTTGATACACTCTACTGTCTGAATTACTTCTACACTTGCATAATTCAGTGAGCACTTGAAAAGACTAAGGATGCTATTCCACTCAGCATTTACATTACAAGGTTGCCTATGATAATGTTGTCACATACGAGTCCAGATTACTTATGAACAACTCGCATCTGTACAAATGAGCGAAGGACAGTGGGATGGGGGAGGGGGGAGAGGAGGGGGGAGAGGAGGGGGGGGGGGGGAGGGGGGGGGTGGGGGTGGGGGGAAGAATGGGAAAGGGAGGGGGGGGGGGGGGAAGATCCAATGATTAGTTGGCATATCTCCCTGCCTCTCCAGGTAGAAATTTAGCAAAGTAAAAGAATGAAGCATAACACAGCAACCACCCACCCATCCGCCCTGGGACACACATCCCATCCCATCCCATCCCATCCCATCCTTCACTTCCCCCACCTTCATGCTCCTTTGTCTACCCCGTTCTCTATTGCACTACCTCCTTCCTTCTCCATCCGTAGAGGCCCTTAAGGGGTGGTACGGTAATACAGTGATACCTGTTTTCTGAGTTCGAGCAAATTTAGCGATCACACGAACGATGTACCATGCGCTGGGTGTCTGTAAAATGTATTTAGATTTCTCAGCACCTCCCAACCGCTTCTTCATTCTGCTCCTTGACATACCTGAAAGGTTCGCCTGGCACATAAAGAGGGTTCTTAATGACGTATTCAACGTATATGTTGGTGTATATGTGCTTCAAAGCATCCCGAAGGTCGCCCATCTTAGGATCAGTCACCAGTATTATCTGCAGTTCACAAACCATAGACAAAGACAGACCACAACAATTTTGCCAAGAAAAAAAAACAAACACTAGTTAGTGAAAGGGGCAGGACCTTTGAGAAGGACTAGAATAAGAGAGCACCATACATACTGAAGTCTCTAAGAGAATGCATAGCATTGGAGAGTGCATAGCATTAGAGAACTTGCCTTAATGCCTGAGGGGGTCTCAAGGTAGTTCAACTTGTAAGTGTTGGTGCGGAAGGCATGGAAGGAGCAGCCATCGCCTGATGCACCACTGACAAGGACACCAAGTACAAAAATAGGGCAGAGTGTGGAAACAGAAAAAAAAGAGTGGGGAATGAAAAGGGGGCAAGACGGATTGAAAGAGGAGGAATGGTGACTGCGCAATGCGAAGGTGGGTAGCATCGGGAAACTTGTGCTGAATTGGGCAGGAGAATATGACAGCAGGAGCTCGAATGAATGGTAAGACTGCTGGGACGAGAGGTGGAGGTGAAGGTTAGGAGCAGCGACAGAATATAAAGGAAAACGTGACACTGCAGGCAAGGGGGCTGATTTGCGGTCGGAAAGAAGAACAGTGGTTTGCTTACTCCATAGAATGCGATTCGGGGCGACATCAATCAAGCAGTCAATTATGGGTTGGCAACGAAGATGCAGCGTACTTGATGGGATCCATTTCGGCTGTGAAGGAGCGGAGGGAGAAGGTTTTGAGTCGTCTCAAAACTCTATAATGGTGTGGGAGTAGAGAAGCAGCGTACTTGATGGGATCCATTTTGGCGGTGAAGGAGCGGAGGGAGAAGACGAGCCCGAACATGAGCTCGTGGTCGTCCGTGTTCGGCGGGTTCGGACGGTACCATTCCCGGTAGAAGATGCAGCCGTTGCGATTAAAGACGTATATCATGTTTATTCGCGAGTTTCCCTTGACGCCGTTACCGGCGGCGCCGCCGACCACGCTCAACATGATCGCTCTATTAACAAAGACGTGTAGCCCTCAACAGTTACCAATACACATCTGAGAACAACGTAAGATAATATCAATCACGACACCGTGACCGGCGGCAAAGGGCGGCAAGGATATGATCTCGTCCGATGGAAACTACTTCTGCATTCGAGAGGCAACGCAGTATCTGTCCGTGTCGGCAGGACGTGAGGGAACCTAGGTCTAAAGATGTGGACATGTGAACAATAGTGCTCTTATTGAAATGTTCGCTTTTGTTTATTACTTGATTATACATTTTAGTTGGAGGATATGCAGCGCAGGATACAGACAATTTGTGCGTCTGCTTTTCGCCTTCACTCCTTGATCTCCCTCCCGCCTTTTTGACCGCCTTGAAATTTGCTCAACGCACGCGACCAGTCACTGACGCTCTCAGTGCTTGCTTGCTCCGATCGCTCTGCACGCAACCAGCCACTCTGCTGGAGCCTTGCTGGAGACACGGAAAAGCCGTCGCTGATTTGTTTCGTGCGTGCGTATGTGCACGCAATCCTCGGTGCTCCAAACGCTGAATCTCGTATCGTAGTGGGACCCAAATTATCCAGTCCATTGTCTTATTTCTGTCAAGCCGTAGCTTGGAAACGCCTCAAAACTCGACTAATCAAGTCCCACGCTCCTTCCCACCACTTCCATCATTAGTGATCTCTGACGAGCAGCGGCCATCACACAACCGTTTTTAGCCGATTTAAATAAAGTATCCGCTTTGATACGTGCCGCTGTCCTTCCTGCGTCCAGCCGCCAGCCGTGAAACCTCGTTATGGCGACGTTCGGGACTGTCACAGCGACGCAACCGCACAATCCCAACAAGGATATCGAGGTACCGTTTCCACGCAAACAATGAACCCCCTTCCTTGTGGCCATTGCACTTCAGCATCTAGCTTAGAGTTTAGGTTCTGATCGTTCTTGAAGTTTAGTGTCCGCACTCTTTTGAGTCGACTCAAAAGTCACTCAGCACCCTTGCTGAGTTTAGCCTCAACACCCGCGGTCCTCGCCTCCTTGCTGCGGCAAGCCTCGTCGTCGCCAGCGGATCGCTCTAGAGAGGCTCACGATCTCGCAGGGTGAGCGTCGTTCTATTAGGGTTTCATTTCAGAGCGAGCACTGGGGGCCAAGATTCCAGCATTCGGGAGGGTAATGGTGTCTTTTTCAGCGCGGATGAAACATGTGACGCTCGATCAGGTGTAAAACTTGCTTGATTCTCTTCCCTGCTGTCCATGCTTCTCACCATCTTCCCCTGTTACCTTCCCTTGCCATGTTCCCCCTGCCATCTCCCCCTGTCATCTCCTTCTAACGTGTGCCTGTCGTGTGCCGCACCTGTGCCTCTCCCGTGCCTGACGTGTGCCTGTCCCGTGCCTGTTGTGTGCTTACCACGTGTCTGATGTGTGCCTACCACGTGTCTGCAGGTGGCCCAGCCGCCCAATGACGGCATATCCAGCATGTGCTTCAACCCCAAGGCCAACTTCCTCGTTGCCACGTCATGGGACAACCAGGTGACGTGTCGCTGCTGCATAATTCTGTCATGGTAACAAGATCGCTTCGTCGAAATAATCAGGGTGTTACTGTTAGGTTACTTCGTTGGGATAACAATGTGACTCGGTTTGCTGTTACATCCACCCGTTCAATCAAATCAACCACCTCCCACTGCACACCACCCCTTCTTCTCCTAATATCTATCTTCTGGACTCTCTCGCCTTTCTTCCTCCGGACCCCACCAGGTGCGGTGTTGGGAGATTCAGGGCAATGGAGCGAGCGTTCCCAAGGCAGGAACAGCACACGATCAACCAGTGAGCGCCCTCCCTTCTTGCTTAAGTCCAGCCTTTCTGCGTTTTCTTTCAAGTTGCCACTCGCTCGCTCGCACGGTGCGAGTCGCACCTGTGGGCCTTGTATTCTCGCATGCCCATTCGTCCGTTGCCCTTTCCCCTTTGACTCCCTCGCTCTCCCTTTGGCTCTCCCTCCCCCCTGCTCCCGCATGCTCAGGTGCTCTGTTCAGGCGACGGCACGACAGTGTTCTCAGGGGGTTGTGACAAGCAGGCCAAGATGTGGCCAGCTGTCCCTCATCTCAACACTTGTGTTTCTCTGCTCCTCCCCTGTACTTCCTCCCCCCTGCTCCGGCATGCTCAGGTGCTCTGTTCAGCATGGAAGGACGACGGCACGACAGTGTTCTCAGGGGGCTGTGACAAGCAGGCCAAGATGTGGCCGCTCATGTCGGGGGGGGCAGCAAGCACAGTGGGCGTGCACGATGCTCCCATCAGCAAGATGGCGTGGATTGCCGAGATGAATCTTCTGGTTACTGCTAGCTGGGATAAAACGATCAAGTAAGAAGGGATGGGCATGCACGGTGAGAGCACGTGGTGGGCGTGCACGGTGAGAGCACGTGGTGGGCGTGCACGATGCACCCATCAGCAAGATGGCGTGGATTGCCGAGATGAATCCTCTGGTTACTGCTAGCTGGGATAAAACGATCAAGTGAGTGAACCTGCTCGTCTCCGCTAGCTGGGGTAAGACTATCTAGTAAGAATGAGATGCTTAATCAAGTGACAAACAGCAAGATAAGAGCTGGAAAAGAAGTTACGTGGAGAGTGAGCTGCTGGCGGTTAAAAAACTGATGGTTAGTAAAACCCTTTTCCCCCGCCTCCCCCCAGTTCCTCCAATTTCCCAATTGCCCCTCCCATCAAATTCTGGGCCAACTCAGCAAATCCTCCTCTTTCCTCTTCCCCCTCAATCCTCAGGTACTGGGATACGCGCCAAGCCACCCCTGCCCACACACAGGCGCTGCCCGAGCGGCCGTACGGGCTGAGTGTGCGATACCCCCTCATGGTGGTGGCCACTGCAGACCGCCACATCATCGTGTACAACCTCGCATCGCCGCAGGTGAGACGCAAGGAATGGGACGAAGGGCAAGGGGGAGGGAATGTGTTGTGGGATGTCTTAAAAGAAGCCGAGAATTCTGTGTGGCAGCCTTCCCTGACAGGAGCAGGTGATATCACTTTCTCTTACCCCATTTGATCAGACTGAGTAGAAGCGAGTAATATTTCCCCTCAAGTTACAGGCGCGCTGTGTGACAACCTTCCGAGACAGGAGGGACTGCGTAGCTGGTGGGGTCCTTTGAGGGCAATTTCGTCCCTCTTCTTCCTCATTTTCCTTTTTCTCCCCCTCCAACCCTCATTGAACCCCCTTTAACCAGACGGAGTACAAGCGGGTGATCTCGCCCCTCAAGTACCAGACGAGGTGTGTGGCGACGTTCCCTGACAAGAGTGGGTACCTGGTGGGGTCCATCGAGGGGCGCGTGGCCGTGCAGCACGTGGAGGAGAACCAGCAGCAGAAGAACTTCACCTTCAAGTGCCACCGCGATGGGAATGACATCTATGCCGTCAACTCCATTGACTTCCACCCGGTGCGTGAGACGACCGCCTGGTTGACTTGCGTTGACTTAATGTTGACGTCGGCGCTGTCAATGCTATTGACTTACACTGGTGCATGCCTGGATGACTTGTGCTGACTTGTGCCCTGTCAGGTGTGCTTGGTTGACTTGCATTGGCTTATGCCTCGTGATATATGCCTGGTTGACTCGTCCCCCTTGTCCATCATCCTCGATTATTTGGGTCCCTCCACTCTCTCTTATAACCCTCCCCCGTGCCATGTCATGCCCTCCCCACCCCAATCGCCACTCCATGCAGCAATTCGGCACGTTCGCAACGACGGGGTCGGATGGGGCATACAACTTCTGGGACAAGGACAGCAAGCAGCGCCTCAAGGTACGTCTCACTGCCGTGCTGTGCAGGATGTGCAAACGTGTTTCAACCCTTCATGTTGGAGTCGACTCAAATGTCAACTTCAGTGACAAGGACAGCAAGCAGCGCCTCAAGGTATGTCGCTGCCTCGGTACCATGTTTCTGGATTTGAGCTGTTGCAAAGGAAAGTTAAAGTTTCGAGGACGTTTGTTCTGTATTGTTTCAATTTCTTTTGCGTTTTATTCATTTTTTTTTTTTTTGGGTTGCGAAGCAACCTATTACAATCGTTATGTGCAATTTTTTTTTCATCCACGATATTTATAGAAGATGAAGAAAAAATGTTATGGACAATATCGTAAGTGACCACTATGTATTTGCCCTGGCAATTTAGCTTGTGTGCCATGGTACTATACATTCTTTGTAGTTCGCCCTGAATTTACTGTGGATGGATGCCTAAGGTGTATTGTGTGGATGAAATATTAACATGGTGTGGAAAAAGAATGTAACTGTGAACTCGTGGTGGCTGTTAATTCCGTAATGCATACGTAATATCTGTTATGCATTAATGAATCATGCATGCATGTACCAATATAATAATGGATAACATAATATAATGCGTAATGCATAAATACCGTATATTGCGGTATACTGCAGTGGTATGCCCATATTTACTTCTGTATACCAGTCCCTTGTATAATGAAATGAACGCACACGATACATGATGGAAATGCGTGATGTTGATTGACCCATACATTAGGCTACCGCATCCCCTGCCTAGCATGGGGGGGAAGTCAATAGCCTAATATATGAACCATCCAACCGTCACATGAAACAACACAATCTGTGAATCCTAAAAAAATGATCAATTCTATCAAATCCAGCTCGAGTGGACACACTCACTGAGTGCGCAAAGAGCCTTCTCGGAAATGATAGGTCGATCATTTTTTTAAAACTCATAGATATGCATTGTTAATGCAATGCATATGAATGAATGTATACACGCACTGACACATACGCACAGTCGCACATACCGTGTATGGACACACAAAAACTCGGACACAAAGTTAAAAACAAAAAAAAGGTGCATAAGAAATCTACCGAAACAATACAGTACCACCATCAATCATACAAGTCACCACTCTGGTTCTACTTTCCACAATGGTCTTGGCTTCAAAATGATAGAGTAACGGTTCTGAAAATAGGGTATACAGAAAGGAGGGGAGAGAGGACGAGGAAAAGAACAGAGCAGAAGGGGCAGAAGAAGGGCAAAAGCAGAGAAAATGAAATACATGGTACAAATAAAAAAGATACAAAAAAACACGAAATGACCAAATAAAAGGCAGAACGAGTGAATGCAGAATAAAATTACAAATACAAGCGAACTTGAAGAAAGTAGGAACTGACAGTCACATACCTCCCACTTACTCATGAATATATGCTAAACAACCCACGACAACGTCAATTTCATTTGTGCAAATGTGCAATGTTTTGTCATCACACGAAAAGAATTGATAAGCTATATAGAAGGTAGAGGCGTGCGTCGTTAAAAAAATGACAAACCAGAAACTGGAAAGGGAATCGAAGACAAAAGCGGATAACATAGGCACAAGAAATTGAAGCAAAAGGAACGGAAACAAGGCCTAACTAGGACAAATTGACATCATACTCTAATTCGCCTAGCAAGCTACCTCGAAATGGTTTCCATGGGAAAAAACGTTAAACAGAATGTTAGGAGAAAGATAACAAAATAACATACACGGAGGAACGGAGTATGTCATGCAAAAGGCAAAAGTGGGAAAGAATCTAACATGAAACAATAAAAATCACTAACTCTTCCTTGCTCTTTTATTCAAACAAAGCCGGTAAGGAAAGAAGAGGAGGTTAGAAATATTGTACTCATGTTGATTTCATCTACTGACTTTGCACTCATACTCTCCTTCACATTCTTCTCAACTCTCCTCATGCTCACTTTTCCTCACGCTCTCTTCCCCACACGCACACACACACACACACACACACACACTCTCTCTCTCAAGCTGTGCCTCTCGGGTATTCTTTATCACATAGAATTTTCGCACATGACTACCCTCTCACTCCCTTTCACAATTTAAACTCACCAAGTTCTGCCGACATGCTCGTGTCCTTCTTGGCTGCCGCCGCCGCGGATTATGCGCATGACGCCAAACGTGGTGCGCTCCTGGCACCAGCAAAAACACACCAGCGCGACTTGCACCAGCAAAACGACGGTAGTGAGAGGATAAAAAGGGGGAGATGAAGAAAAGGGATAAGAAGGGAGGGAGAATCGAGAGATAACGGTAAAAAAGAGAGAAAAAGAAGAGGTAAGGGAGGGAGAAGAGGTAAACACATATGTGAAAGAAAGCAGTAAGGTCGTTAAAGATGATAAACGGTCCGACATAAACATTAGACCTTGTGAAACGACCACATCAGTTTCTGGATAGGACTGCTCTAAACCGAGTGTGAGGAAAAAAAGAATGAAAACATGGAAATCCGAGGTGGTAAAAAGGCAACCGACGAAAAGGAAAAGTAAGGACGACGGATAAAGGAAAGGGATGGTAGAGAATGCATGAAGAAACGGAAAAATACAAGATACGAAATCTTCCTAAGCTTAAACAATTAACAGTCATTCTTTTACACAGTTAGGGCACGAGATTACTAAACGCTTGTCTAAGGCTCATATAACTTAGTTGCAGTTGAGCATTAAGGAGTAGTTAGGGGGGAGCTTAGGCACTCATGCTTCTCACCTTCCTCTGGCAGGTGGGGTGGTGAGCGTGACCAGCGAGAGAAAAAAAGAACATACAAACCCTAAGGTAGGAAGCATTCTGTCGCGTCGTAATTGGACTAAATATTTTAGGCTCGAAAAAAAAATGATTGCGATAGCGTAGTCGTTTGAAGATGCACTTCGATTCGGAAAGTCATGATTTCGATTCTCACCGTAGCCAGTTTTGCAACATCAACCACAGATTCGTACTCAACATAAAAAGTAGAAGAATCTTGGGAAAGGAGAGTGTTATATTCGTATAATAGAAGTTAATTACGCAAAATGCTTCGCAACCCTATGACGACCTTGTCGCCTCTTGTTTTTTTCTTTGGTGGTCCTCGCCGTCGCCTTTGTTTCCATGTCACTCATGCTCTGCATTTTGTCTTCTGTGGTTCAAGTATTGCAACCTTCGTGTGACTGTATTCATGCATGACACTATCCACACATTACTGTCTGAACATATAGATTCCATCGGACCATGCGCTCATCTCTCCCTGTTTGTCACCCTCGTTCCTTCAGCCTCCTCACTGCTTGTGCATGTATGCATGCAATTCTGCCATGCATTGCTGCAGCATGCCTGCTCTGCACTCACCTTTCCTGTCCCTCCCTCTGCGTCCCGTTGCACCATGCTTGTCACTTCAACCCCACCAGGCTATGCAGCGCTGCTGCCTGCCTGCCCCGCATTCACCTCCCCTGTCCCTCCCTCTGCATCCCACTGCTCTGCACCACCCTGACAACCCCACCAGGCCATGCAGCGCTGTAGCCTGCCCATCTCCTGCAGCGCCTTCAACCACGACGGCACCATCTTTGGATACGCTGTGAGCTATGACTGGAGCAAAGGCGCGGAGAACCACAACCCGGCAGTGAACAAGAACTACATTCTTCTGCACGCAACCCAGGTACGGTAGCCCTTTCTATCTACTGTTACACCACATGCACACTGAAATCTTTTGGCGAGAATATGGTTGTGTGAAATGTACCCACTGTATTCACTTCAGAGTCGCCTTTCTGTCCATTCGTTTTGTTTGCTCAACAGGAAAGCGAAGTGAAGGCCAAACCGAAATCGACGAGCACCACTACGAGAAGATAGTCCACTTCATTTTTTATGAGAATCCAAGGGAAGGTTGTAGACTAATTTGCCATCTTCATGTGGATGGGAATAAAGGCTGTGTATTTTAATGAAATAATTTGGTTGCTTGTAGTGAAAGCCTATGTGGAGAGAATACTGTACACCGACTCAACATCTCAAGCAACCTGCGCTGGCCGAACCTTCGCGACGACACGTCGTTTCTCGAAGTTGCCATTGCCACGTCGTACGGGCCACGGACCCTTTGCTCTCCGCCTCGAGAACATTGCTGCCACGTGGCATGTGCACTTTCCCCTCACCCTTCCAACCTTCCCTTCCCACTGGAGCTTATCCGCACTGGCGAGTTTCTCAAATTGGTCCAAATCGTCTGATTGAATTCTCTTCACACCTTGTTGCTTTGCTGCCTCTAGTCCCTTCATCATCCACGTCTCGCTGCTCCGCGTACGGACGCCTGCTGTTAGCTTGTTCCGGCCTCGTCGTGGCACTCGTCAGGTGTGATCTCAGCCTTTGAAACAGATCCGAAGCTCGGAATGGCTCAAGCAATCAGCGGCTCAGCCTCGGTAGTTTCACAATTCGCTGTCTTCGCAGCTGACGTGTCGACCCATCGTAAAGGACCAGTGGCTGCCGCGTGGCACGCTACTGCAACAGATGGCGTTGCGGCCCGGGCTTCCGCTCTTCCAGCACTGCGTGCCCGACATGCGACCAGAGGAGCCACGTTGAGAGCTCGCGCCTCGACGCCAGTGGATTATGACTCCTCACAGGTACTGCCCACGTTGAACGGGCTTGCAGTGATTGGGAAAAAGGACCACTATAAGGAATCGGTGACTAGGTCCACCCTAAGCTGTTTCGGTGTTATACTTACAAATGTAAATCGAGCGTGTGTATATGTTTGTCAAGTCCAACAATGAGACCGAGTGAGAACCGATCGAACGAACTCCCTGCGTTGCTCTTAATTTCCCTGATCACACTTGGGGGGTGGGGCTTTTTGTCCCGCGTACCAGAGACACGGCCAGAAGGGTTTCTGTTTACATGAAATCAAGGAAAATTGACGTTTTACACGTTCACTTCCACCAGGATGCGTCTGAAACGGAGGAGGAAGGGGGGGAGTCTTCGCCTCTCTCGATCGAGCGCATCCTGAAGCAGGCGTCGGACGCGTATCAGTCGGAGGACGAGGCTTTTGATTCCCATTTCCCTTCCCATCTTCTCTTCCCCCCATTGTCCGACACCAGGATGCGACCGAAACGGAGGAGGAAGGGGCAGACTCCTCTCCTCACTCTATCGAGCGCATCCTGAAGCAGGCTGCGGACGCGTACCAGTCGGAGGACGAGGCGGCGGTGGCGACGGTGGAGGCGCAGCTGCGAGCCATGGAGGCCGACCGCCAGGGCCTCGCGGAGCGCCTCGAGTCGCTCACAGCTGAGGTGAGCGCGCTGCTAGAGTGAGCCGTCGGTGGGCCAGGGCCAGGCTTCTGGGACGTTGACCGGGCAGCTGCGACGGTGGAGGCGCAGCTACGAGCCATGGAGGCCGACCGCCAGGGCCTTGCGGAGCGCCTTGAGTCCCTCACAGCTGAGGTGAGCGCCTCTAGAGTGACTTGATAGTATCAGGGCTATTTTTTGGGACCTTTAAGTAACGCAAGCAACACAACGGGGAGAACAACAGAGTTGATGGGGCGGGATTTAGGAACGTTGTCGGTGGGCCACGGCCAGGATACAGGATTCAGGATTCTGGGACGCTGACCGGGCAGCGGCGACGGTGGAGGCGCAGCTGCGAGCCATGGAGGCCGACCGGCAGGCTGGGCCTCGCGGAACGCCTTGAATCGCTCACGGCCGAGTTGAGCGCGCTGCAAGGCGCTGGGGTCACGGGCGAGGTGGGGTCACGGGCGAGGTGGGGTCACGGGCGAGGTGAGGTCACGGGCGAGGTGAGCTCGCCACTAGGCGGTGAGATGTAGCTGATGTGACCTTTTTTTTGGGCAGCGGCGGAGGTGATTTGAGGGTTGTGATTTCAACATGAGCTCCTTTCTGTCCCTTCTTCCCCCTTACCCCCCCTCCCTTTCCTCTGCTTTTCTGGTTTGGATCCTTTTTTCTCCTCCACCTTACCCGTCTTCTTCCTTTTCCTCTTCCCCGTCCTCTTCCTCTTCCCCGTTCTCTTCCTCTTCCCCATTCTCTTCCTCTTCCCCGTCCTCTTCCTCTTCCCCTTCCTCTTCCTCTTCCCCCTCCCCTTCCTCTTCCTCTTCCTCTTCACCTTCCTCTCCCCTTCCCCTTCACCTTCACCTTCCTTTCCCATTCCCCTCCCTCTCCCCTTCTTCCTCTCTTCCCCTTCCCTTCTCCCTCCTTTCCTCCCTCCTCTCCCGCCCCATCCCCTACTCCCTTTCCTTCTCCTTCCCTCTCCCCTTCCCACTCCCCCTCCGCTTCCCCCTTCCCCTTCCCCACACCCTCCACCTCCAACCTCCTATCCCTGGGCCTCCTCCGACCCTCCAGTGGCTTCAATTCGCAGCGGCCAGGGTCTGCTTTCCGCGATCCCCCATCCCGTTCTCCCCAGATTTCCCCCTTATGACTCACTGATCCTCCCTCACTTCCGCCCCCCCTCCGCCTCCCCTTCCGCCAGATCTCCACTGCCAAGGACCGTTTTTTGCGGCTTAACGCGGACTTTGACAATTTCAGGAAGCGGTCGGAGCGGGAGAAGCTGGCCATGGCGGCCACGGTGCGCAGCGACGTGGTGGAGGCGCTGCTGCCCATGATCGACTCGTTTGAGCGCGCCAAGGACAGCGTGAAGGCGGACACAGAGGCGGAGAGGAAGATTGACGGCGCTTACCAGGGGATTTATAGGCAGTTTGTGGAGGTGCTGCGGGGGCTTGGAGTAGCTGCTGTCGAGACAGTTGGCAAGGAGTTTGACCCCAATGTAAGTTTGATGGAAGTGTGAGCCTGATTCTTGTGTGAGGTTCTGTCAGATATGAGAGCAAGGTGTGGTGGAGGCGCTGCTGCCCATTGACTCGTTTGGCCAAGGACAGTGTGAAGGCGGACACAGAGGCGGAGAGGAAGATTGATGGTGCTTACCAGGGGATATATAGGCAGTTTGTGGAGGTGCTGCGAGGGCTTGGCGTGGCGGTCGTGGAGACGGTTGGCAAGGAGTTTGACTCCAATGTGAGTCTGGTGGGAGTGTGAGGTTGACCCCAATGTGAGTTCGATGGGAGTGTGAGTATGATTTCACTGGGAGTTGGACTCTATGTCATCACACGAGACTGGAGTCATGGTAACAATGACGCTCGCCTCGCTCATCGCACACTTCCCTCGTCTCTTCCCCCCCAGGTGCACGATGCGATCATGCGGGAAGACTCTACGGAGCACCCCGAGGGCGTGGTCCTTCAGGAGTTCCGCAAGGGCTTTGTGATCGGAGAGAAGCTCATTCGCCCCGCCATGGTCAAGGTCTCCGCTGGCCCAGGGCCCGCTGGTGATGCCGCCGCTGCTGCTGCTGATGGTGCTGCTGCCGGTGGTGATGGTGGGTCGGATGGGTTGGAAGCAGAGAGTGGTGAGAAGTCGGAATAGGTTGTTGTGATTATGGTTAGCAACAGGAGAGGGATCAGCAGGGGTGCGTGCAGAAGTTAGTAAGGTGTACGTTGTGGATAAGGACCGAGCAGTGCTGACATGACATGCTGTCAGTTTTGATGCTGCCATTTGTGGTGGTCCTCACGGTATGTAGAAAGATTTTGTGGGTAGAAGCAATTTTCTTAGGATAGGACTAGAGTGTGGATTCTGTGATGTAAGCTGTGTTCATTGAAGAATTGTTTGACAGGAGTCAGGACTCCTGTGATATGTGCTACTTATTGGGTGATGCCTTGACTAGTGAAAGGGCTTTGAAAGCATGTTTCCGTACTTGCACTAAGTGTTAAGTAGCTTGCACTAAGAAATTCGAGTTCATTGCATGTATCGAATCCCTTGAAAACGCATAGTAGCAACATCGATGGAACCTCAAGAGCCGCCAGCACGTGAGCATGTACAGTGCTGTACTCCATCCTCTCTTCCACCTCTCCCCCCTCCTCTTCCATGACGGAACAGACAGCCTCCACCGCCTTTTAGGGCGGGTCCAACTTTGTACAATCCCGCTTTTTTCATAAATTTTACGTCAATGCACTTGTCAAATTTGACTGTATCCCAGAGCGTAGTTCCGAGTGTACTGTTCGGACTTTTGACGAGGTGTATGAAGGGAGGAAAAAAATCCAGCCCTGAAGCCTAAAGGGCGGAGTTCGCCCCAGCCCTGCTAAATACAGGGTCTTACATGCCGGGCCCCCTGATTTGTCCGGGGGGCCCAAAACCAAACGACAGGCCTGCTCGCACCCTTCCCTGGACATCCTGCCAGCAGGGTCACATGTCCACATGCATCACTACCAGGGCTGACGATTCAAGGGCAAATGCCCTTAATGCCCTGAACATTAAGGGTTGGGTTGGGCCTAGCTTCCGAATCTTAAGGGTTGGATTTGAGGGCAGCCCGTCCCCGTAAAGTGCTGGTTGTGGGCCTAACCCGGATTTCAAGTGCAGATCCCGCGGCTAGCCCTTGTTGTCCCATACTAACACCTCCCTCCCTCCCATTCCCTCACCCGTTCCCCCACCTCCTCCCAGCCACCTCTCCCACTTCCTTCCTTTTCCCATCCCCGTCAAATCCATCGACATGTTTCGTATCTCCGAATAAATGTAGGGTTTTCCTTAGCGAAGTGCAAAAGAACTGGTAGCCCTGATTTCAAGTGCAAGGTTTGCTCTCAGCCCGTAAATTTCAGGGCAACTTTTGGGGCACCTCAGCCTCTCAAGTTCTGGCTCCAAACCAATCGACAGCCCTGATCACTACGTGCGTGATAGGGAGGAAGAAAAAATCCCTCAAACAAAGGCGGTGATGGAAAGGATGCCGTGGATCTCCTGAGTTGCTGAAACCCGAGCCAGGGCACAGAATAAGAGCGTGGAACATCCTTTTGAACAAGTGATTGGTCGGTTGCCTGGTCGAACATTGGGGCTCGTCAATCGTTTGCGACAGAGTTCGCCAGGCAACACAGAAAACCACAAACTGCAAATCAGAAACCCCTGCAAATTTGGGGAAGGGACCATAGGTCGCTCACAAACGCAAAGCCTGTATGGTATACGTTTCGCTAAATTCGTCAATCACCTTGCTGCTAATTAGGATGCAGCACATCACCCTCGACAACACCTGGTTGCATGTCGCATGTTTCTGCCTACATCGTCAATTCTTGTCGTATCAGCTTGATAAAAAAAGTGGGGTGACCGATGGCCCAAGCTGTGGAACTTGGGCGCTGCTTCTAGTCTTCGTCACTCTTCTACGAATTTCATTTGCGACAAATGCAAACAGGGTTACTGTCGCAGGTGAGCGACTGACGCTGTGTTCAAAAGGATGTTCCACGCTCTAATCACAAGTTTCACCGCCTTTCTTAGTGAGTTCCCCACTTCTCCCCGCATCACCCCAGCGTTGCTTGTCAGCAGCTCTGTCAGCGTGGGTACGGTGCGTGGGTACCAGGGTTGTCGCTTGCAGGGCGTTTGCCCTGCTGGACCTTGAATTCCAGGGCTGATTCGCCCTTGGAAACTGAAATTGATGGGTTGGAAAATTTCTGGCCCTGATTCCTTACAGGGTTGATTTTGGGCTGAGGCCTTGTGTCTAAAGGGTAGATTCTAGGCGAGCCCTGGAACAGATTCTCTTGAGTCCCCCACACATACCTTCCTCTCCCCCACAACCCCTCCAATTTCCTCTCCCCCCGGTTTCTGTCCAGATTGCAAATTTGGGTGTGGTTAGGCCCCAAATTTCACTCAACCTTACTTAGTACTTGCGCCAATCACAACTTCGCTCCCTAACAAAATGAATCGGCAATCACAACTTAGTACTTTCTCCCTAACTTCGCCAATCACAACATGAATTGGCATAGCATTAGCAAAACACCCTCAGAGTGGCGAGATGACTACCCCATCCTCGTGCACAAGATCACCAGTGCTGCCTGCCAGGCTAGGGGGCCTGCTCAGCATGTGTAGTGAAATGACACGAACTAGTGGTTTTTTTGTTTGCTTGTTGAAGTTAATCTCAGAGTATCGTACCAAACCTAATTCAAAGGGAGGAATAAATTGCAGCCCTGAAGCCTAAAGGGCCGAGATTCGCCCCAACCCTGCTAAATACAGTGTCGTTCATGCCGGGCCCCCTGATTTGTCCGGGGGGGCCCCAAAACGAAACGACAGCCCTGGTGGGTACGGTGCGTTACTAGCGGATCAAAATTGAGCCCGCAGGCCTCGATACACCCTGTTTCGCGCCACACTGACATTCGCCATACTGACAAGCCGGATGTACTGACATGAATGCGTCCAAATTGGTCCCAGAACATACAATATAAGCACATTTACCGTATGCAACCGAACGCAAAGGCACGTTGTTTCCCATGAACCGTTGTTTACCGTTATCCCGAAGTGCATTCCGGCTACAAGCACCAGCCCGCTGAATCCAAGCACACGTGCGCACTGTAGCCGGGGCTCCCGGTTGTCCGAACTTCGAGAAACAGGGTGTATTCCCCTCATCAGTCCGCCACCGCCAACCCTGCTTTGGGCTTGAAGGACCCGCAAACCCCAATGGTGGCATTCGCGTTTACATATCCATACATTTCTTCTTGTAAGTCGGCCTGTGGGAAGCGTACCTTCACACCATCAGAGCGGACGCGGCGTCACCGCCATCACGTGGGATGACAGGCTGAGCATTTCAGGAGAAAAAAAGGCGGTCTTCATTCGGCTGTTGCTGGATTTGTGATGTCAGACAAAATCCGATTTGCGGAGTCCGCAATACTACATTGCATTCTCATAATTTGTCCCTCTATAGGCTGAGGTTTGCCGCACCAGCCAGCCACGCCTGGGAATAGGTACGCCGTTATCACCTCAGGTGACGATAAGGGTCGGGCGAAGGGTAAGAGCGTGTTACACCTGCTGTAGGATCACAGGATTGAGATCACCAACACCTCAACCGTAGGATTATGAGTGGTCAAACAACATATTTTTGGGGCGTATCGCGATCCTTGCTGGTGTACCATCTGACAAAATTGGAGTGGTGATCCTCTGCGACCAGGCGACGTCGTCAGCAACTGCGCGACGTCGCCTGATTTAGAAATTTGCGAAGACCATGCTGACTGCGTTACTGACCAAAATGCAACAGTCTCATTGGTTCAAACTCAATCAACAGAATGTTCGGATTAGTGGCGACATCGTTACAAATGTTTGCGACGGTTTAATTTTCGTCAACAAGGATCGCCATGTCTTTGGTACAAAGATGCAAAGATCATCAAGAGATTGGCAGTCACCATGATCTTTCATAAAACACCAAGATTCGATCCTTCCTCTGTTGGTACAGCACCTAACACAGTGATTACTGAATAGTGGTAGGTACGGCACTGTTTTGCCAGGATCGCCTTCGCGATCCTCAAAATGCGGCGATCTTTGCTCGGGTGTAACACGCTCTAAGAAGCAGGATTGAGGAATTCGCATTTCCCTGCTGCCTCGAAACCGCTGGTTAGATATTTCGACAATATCTCAATTCGATCATTCGAACAGCCTGTTGCTGAGTCATGCCTAATCATCCAAGTAATGCTGCCCCTATTGCTTCTCTTTCCGAGATTAGCGCTTCAGCGAGGGGTCGAGAAAGGTGCTTGTAGAGGAGCATTTACCAAAACTCATCTCTACAAAATTTCAGAAAGAAAAAGACTGCAAAAGCATTTCATGGGGACTGCTTGATGTTTTTTCCTGCCACCAATGCTCGTGGTTTATCATGTGAAATGCTAGAGCAATCTTCACGCTTGAGCTTTGTTTGAGGAATGATTGAAAGGTTTGCATGAGCAATCTTGACCAGGCTCGGCAAGCAGTGCACCAGCCAACGACCAGCATTGCTCATCCTCACTACAGCAAGCAAAACAAATCATTTAGGTGCCTTTAATAACGGATTAATTTTCACAGTACACTCAGCTTATCATAAACTAATTACGAAAAAAGAGAAAATGCAAAATTGGTAGGTACTATTATAATCGTAAAAGCATGACACATGAATTATCTTCTCTGCTAGGAACTGTAGTACTTATATTTCAATACTTCTATTTCAACGCAACCTCAGGTCAATAACAACCATTACTACAATACCTGGTCGGCCTTACCAATTAAACCCCAACATCCTAGATACCGCGTACAACATCCACACACAGCACAATTATCATGCAATAATGAACACAGTAGCTCATTTCGACCAGGAAGAGATTCTGCACCCAGTAGCACAAGCAGCAGAGTTAGGTCCACACAGCAAAGGTTAACAGAGATGCACCTACGAATCAGTCATGCCCTTAATATGCCTGGAAATGCACTGCTGGGCGGCCCTGAAGGAACCGCGATGAACTTTGCAATAATCTGGCGATAAATCTTCCGGAAGATATTAAAAATTTGGCGACAATATTCTCGAAGGCTTGACGATAATCTCGGAAGTCGCTGGTATAAGCGTTGTCATGCGCGCTTGTATTCTGCAACAACATAGGTGC